TTTATTGTATCAAAATATATGTAGATATATGAATATATTTTGGAAAGTCAGATGTCAAGATGAATGTACATTTTCTTGGTTAGTTTTTTAAAAAATCACAAAACACAAAATTATGGGAGAAGTAATATGTCAGCTGATTTCTTAATTTTTAATATATATTCAATGAAAATAAGATATCTCTGTGGAGAATAAATATTACTGATGTTTGTTGAAAACCCTAAATCTTTTTCATATCAATGTAAGTTTTGTACTGCTCCATCATTACCTATTCTGGTTTTGATGGTCCACATTTAGGGATTACTTATTTAGTATGCGTTCAAACTTACAACAGTACTGAATGAGTGGTAGTTATGACTGGACCTCGTGGTTAGGGCCATCTAGCATTTTTAAATAATTTTTCTGTTTTTGATTCATAAATAATTGTTAATTTTTTATGGCACTCCTTAAATTAATGTAGGTTGTTTAAATGTTTGACAGATATCATGGCTGCAGGTTACTAGAGATAACTTTAGATTTTATTACCCTGTTTTCCCCAAAATAAGACATCCCCTGATAATAAGCCCAATCGGGCTTTTGAGCGCATGGCAATAAGGCCAAGTGCTTATTTCAAGGTTCAAAAAAATATAAGACAGAGTCTTATTTTCAGGGAAACATGGTATCATTAAAATTTTACTGGCTTGTCATCCCCCCACAAAAAAGGATTAAGCTCTGTATACTAATGATGTATTTGAAATAACATGGGAAACTGTCAGGCTGTCAGTGTTTAATTTATTTCAGTATTGTCAACTTTGATAGACAAAGGCTTGAAGCACTTAAGAGGCCCTGTTACTTACGTCTGGAGTTCACATTTTGGATAAAAATACTACCACTTCTGCCTTTCAAACCAAATGATGTGGGCATATTCATTACTTAATCATACTACAGTACATGAGAGACAAACATTCTATGCATTTCTTAATTTTTTCATCTGTTTCTCTTACCACAGTCAATTGTCTTGAATAAGATGTTGGGTTTGGACTTAGTTGAAATTCTTAACTGACTGTTAAATTCAAGTGATACCACTCTTCTCAGTTACCCTGATAAATGGGAATTATTTTGACAAAAAGTCCAAAATCAAGGCAAATGCACTATGTTTTGTAGACATAGTGTCACTAGGTAGTAGCAGGTGCATGTATATGGAAAACATGATTTTGCAATTAAAACTATTCTGGCTATACACACAGGGTCAGTCGGTGCCCTGTGTGGATATAACAACTATACAGAACAATACAAATTATCTCTACAATAGAGAGCTTTGGACTTTACTCTATAAAGCTCAATAGATTGAAATCAGCATCTTGAATTGAACTTACGGGAAGTCAGGGCAGCACCCTCAAAATAGTTATTGTTGAATCATCCTGTATCTATCAGCAGGTGGACTGATGCATTTTGTACCAATTGCAGTTTTGAATTAATCTTCCAGGGCTACCTGAAAGAGAGTTTACTGCAGTAATACAAGGCTTAAAGGACATCTGGCTGTGTTCACATTTCTATGTATATGCACAACATCTTCTCTGGCAGTGCTAGCAGAAATGTATTCATACATACATAGACAAATGAGAAATTTCAAAGCTTTCCACAGGACATGGGTGCTTTTATGATGTCGAATAGATGTGTTTTGCTATGCTACTACACTTTGCAAAGCATGTGTTTCGAATGCTTTGCACAGCCATAGATTATGGTTCTTAATAACAGATACACAGATGAAACAAATGTGGAATTCAGACCACAAATGTTCAAATGTCACTTTTGGTTTTTTAGCAGCTCACCTGTTATTCACTGACTTTCTGCACGTATAAAGCTATTGAGCGTTATAATCAATAGATGTAGAGATAGCTAACAGAGGGACTGTTAAAGCATTTTTATCTGCTTTCCTTTCCTAAAAGACTCATGTTGCATATCCCTATGGAACATACCTCCTATTCATTCTCAGGAGTTTCATAATTTCTTTCTTCACTCAGTTCAGTCTCCTTTTCTTCTAATTCAGACTTATGCAGTTCAGGGACTTATTGGTCTCACTTTCTCTCCATAATGGAGGACAGCACACTGTCTCCTGGTTTATAAGCACTACACCAGACTGACTCTTCTGGTTTTTCTGTGATCATGCTGTTTCCTAAATAAGCTTCAACTTTAATTTTCTTTTATGTAAATATCAGAGCAGAAGTTATATTCCTAACTACATTGTTAAACTATTATTTCTGCCACATAAAGCTATCTGTTGCCCAGGAATAAGCTATTGGGCCCAGAGTAGAGAAAGGTTTAAAGATTATGAAAAAAAAGGAGGAATTTTTTTGTTTCGGTTCACAAATGCTTACCTGTCTGCAAGATGGACAGATCAATAAGGTAGGATGGGCGGTTGTAAGGAGAGCAGACAATTGAGATGCTGAACAACAGGATGCATGCTTCAGTTCTGTAGATTGATTTGTCCCTTTTCTCTTAAGAATATAGTGATTGTGTTTGCTTCCCAGAGCTATATATGTGAGATGGCAGATATATAAATGTAACAAATACAATAAAATAAGCATATACCTTGAATCCAAGTTAATATCCTTTGCATTTGTTCTGTGCTTTTTGTATCACGGAGAACTGAAAAGTATTTGCTCTTGGGCCTTTTCTCTTTGGCTCTCAAAACAAGGAGTTGAGTAGAGTAAATCCTACTTCAGGCTTGAGAATGCCTGCCAACAAATTACCAATAGGATTACCAATGCATTCAGCAATTTATATAATTTAATGGTTAATGTAAGGAATTTTTTTGTCACTTCTGCCACTGCCTTCACTTTTTTCTTAAATTAAAGCAGGAAGGGATATCCATTAAGACACACATTTCTCTTCAGGTAATCTCTTGTAGCTATGTGGAGGTAGGGATAAGGTAATATATTTTCCTACACTTCTGTCTTTCTTTTCATTGCCTTCTTCATGCTTAAATGGAAGAGAGTTGGCTGATGTCTTACAGAAAGCTTTTGAAATTAGGCCAAGGACTGCATTAAATTAAGCTGAATGCACTAGATGGCTCAACAGCTACTGGTTGCCCTTCCCTGATGTAGAGCCAAAGTGATGATCTGATATCTTCCTGCAAAACAATAAGAGTAACTTATTTAGAGCCAAGAGAGAAGGGGGAGTGGTCTGAGGTGGTTTCCTCAGCCATACTGACTAGGCATGCTAGGAATTACAGTTCCAAGAATCTGAAGGGCACCAGATTAGATAGTTTTTTATTGTGTGATGCACAGTCACATGCACAATGATTAGGTGGGTTGGGTTTACTAGTACTAATGACTCTAAAGTTCTTTAGTATCTGAAAAAGGGGCACTCTCTATTGGATAATATGATTTTATCATTTGCATACAGCAGTAGACTTAATGTATGCTTTATGGCCCACAAAAATCATAAGAGGAATTTTTAAACACAAACAACCCCACACTTTAATTTTCCATTGAAGATAATGTGTATTTCTGTACCTGAAATATGAGCTTCAATCCTCAGAAGATTCTTAATTGCTATAAGTTTCAATAATTCAGAAGTAGTATTGATCGTAGAGATGACACTTGGACTCCAAGATGGGCAAAGCTCTGCCTTTCTTTGGAGACAACATGCTGTCAGTCTAACGTCATATCTAAATCAGCATTATTTTTTTTATTACACATTCTTGATCACCAGAATTACTGACATTATCTTCAAGAGCCAGGACTGGAAAATTTAAAGAAAAAGAATATTTTGAACAACTATGGTGAAAGGGGGGGAAATGAAAGAGAAATCCTAATGAAAGCCATAATGCTTTGAAAAGAATGTTTTTGATATAGATTCACAAGTTTGATTAGATAGTACTATTTAAAAAATCATTTTAGGACAATAGGAAGAGTGTTGCTCTGTGTGGTTTGTTCTACTTGAGATAGTTTAGGTCATCAAGGGCAGCTTGATGATTTTTGATTTTTTTGAAATAGTGTTGTAGTAAACGTATTGAATAAATACATGGTAGTTACTAACAAATTCAGCATCTATGATATAAAAATTACCTGTTAATCTTGACTGAAAATGATTTTGGGCAAAGAAAGCTTACGCTTTTGTATAAAGCTCTTGATTTTAGGATTAGAATAGCTGCCAGGTTCTGAATTGTACAAATCTCTCCTCCCTCCCTCCCTCCCTCCCTCCCTCCTCTCTCTCTCTCTCTCTCTCTCTCTGTCTCTCTCTCTCTCTCTCTTTTGATAATCCGGTGGAATTGGGCTATTATAAAAAGGTAAAGCACCGAATAAGCTAATTATCAATAGAGTTCTATGTACCATACAGGAAAAAATTAGACCTAATATTGTGCTTTCAAGGCAAACGTGAGTGTTCAAGCTTTTTGAAGAGTAATCTCCGATGCCATATGACCTTTTTTAAATTCAATCTGAGGGATTTCCAGAAATGGACTGTAAAATGGCATAAAATAAGCATGTATGTTTAAACTCAGAAATCTGACTAAAACTCAGAAATCTGACTCAGAAATTCTGAGTCAGAAATAACAAATCTTTGGCTATAATCCAGAGAATTACTTGAGGTACATCTAGCAATTATATTCAGAGTAACTTTATTTTATTAACAGTATCATAAAACTGAATTTGTTTCTCATGATGTTGGCCTAAAGACGATAAAGTCAAATGATAAATTAATTCTTGCTCTAAAATCTTACTAGGTAGCTTTTCTCAAAATAATCTGGAAAATCAAACTCTGAATTTAAACATAATTCCTCATGCCTGTCCTTTCCATGAGTTAATGCCTAACAAGAAGGCTCCACAGGAATGACAGGCTGCTGATACATTGTAACAAAAATTGTGGGGTAGGAAATACATGTTTTGTAGTTTATATCTAGCAGTAGAAAACTTTTACTAAAAGTATTTTTAAAAAACAGGCAAACTAAAATTGAATTGTTACTGATTTGAAGGATGACTGCATATCCCTAAATTTGATTTTTCAACTTTTTGTCATAGAAAATCAATGCAAAACACCACGAAGGGCTTTGTCAACACTGTAAGGAGGTCCTGGAATGGCGGGTAAAATTCAACAAGTATAAGCCATTAACACAAGCTAAAAAATGGTGAGTAAATTGTTATTGTAATATATTAAAAGCCATGTGGCCAGTCCAAGCAGATATGGAAACTTTTAAACAATTGTGGCCAAAGAGAGGATAGATCAGACTGTGTAGAGTCCACCACCCCTTTTAAAGGGAGCAAAAATACTTTAAGAGTCAACTATACTAGAAGTATGCATTGTTATGTACTTCTGAAGCTTCATTAGTAAATAACAAGGTACACCAAGGAAAGATTAGCATAAAACCCTCCTTGCATACTAAAAACTGTAATTAAGCCAGAGCCATACAAGACTTCCTTAACCTAAAGTAGGTAAATAGTTTTAAGTATGAAAAGCTTTTTCAAACCTACAGTTGATCAATAAGTAACAGCGGTTCTTCCATTTTTTAGGGGCAGTTGAGAAGCAACCTCAGGAGGCTATGATTTTAACCAAAAAAACAGTGGGATGTGATCAGTCCTTTCCATGATAATAAAGGAAGCAATTTTGCGCAGCTTTAATGATAGCTTTTCTGTGACCCTTGTCTGTTCTAAGATTTTTAGAGGTGGTTTTTTTTTATTAAAAAAACATATCTAGGTTTTGTAACATGCATTTCTGCCAAGTGCATCACTAGGTGATTCATGCAAAGGAATTGTAAATAACCTTTGAGCTTAACTCTGTTTAAAATGTGTCTTATCAGTATTATTCAAGTCTCTATTTTCCAGTGGAAAGGAAGTGTTCAAAACAAGCATTGTGTCTTAATTCAGTCCTGTACATAGAACAAAGAAGAACATAGCTTTAAGAACCATCTGTACTTCATTAGGGATATTTTTTTAATACTACTAACAAAGTAGTGTGAAAATTACTCAGAGTTGCATTAATGGTTCTTGGCAAGCTAAAAAAGAAATCTTGCAAGACAGGGACTACCTGTATTTGCTACACATATTCCTCCTGCAACATGCTTGGCAAGGCCTTTAAACAGATTGGCTTCAAGTTCCTCTTACTCCTCACTTCCCTTGGATTCTTTTCAGTCAAGACACAGAATCATTTATGAATAGGATTATCTCCTGGCCAGAAAAAGAAAAGCTCTATGATCAGCTCTGGCAGTTTATGAATATGCCTGATATAGTTGTTGCTAAAAAACCGTGGAGAGACTGGTTGGCAACTGCTATTAAATATTTAAATCTGTCAGTTTACAGTTTTAGTTTCATTAGATACTTGAAAAATTAACTATTTTTCTATCAAATGGTAAATATGGCCAGAGAAATGGACAAAAAGTTTAATGAAAGATGCACTAGCATATAAAACAAATATGCCCTGGTATTGTGAAGTCTACATCCATAATCTAATCCACATTTGGAAGTAATTTCCAAATTCTTTGTTCTTGAGTTGGATTTACTCCATACGAGAATACAGTGCATGATGAAATTTATTTAATAAAAAGATTGAACTAAATGTTTGTACATGTGCATAGATATAAGTTCATTTGAAGGCCTAGCCATTTATTTTGTGTATCTCTGTGTTTTAAGATCAAATTGTTGGGGATTTTTAAAATACTTAAAACTAATGAAGATTAATTGTAGATAGATATTTTTATGCACAGATTGAATGTATGGTTAAAGATTATTACTGGCTACTTTAAACATGTATATGATAAAGTATGATCAGGTGCTACCAGTTTTTATCAACTGTATAAACAGAAATAAATTGCCATACTATCTCAAAGATACATTTGTTTTATTGCCACTTTAAAATTTAAGTTGGTATCTACTCAAACAACATATTTTAAGAACAGTTAACAGTTTGTTCACGAACATTATGAAACTGAGAATTCATAAGGAATTAGGCATTACAAACTTCATTTTCTTCCCAAGAAAACCTGTCCTACCATCACCTGCGTTTCAAAATTTCTAAAAGTCTTTACAAATAATATCTTTTTTTTTAAGTATATGATATTTGGAAAAATTCTATTTATGATTTCACAGGTTGCTAATTTATAATGTTTTGTGTCAAATAGCCAAATGAAATATTTTAATTCAGCTTTAATTCTTTTTCTCTTTTAATAGCACAAAATGTTTGCAAAAGACTGTAAAAGATTCTTACCATATTATCTGCAAGTCATGTGCCTGCGAACTAGAGCTGTGTGCTAAATGTGGAAAGAGGGAAGACATCACGATTCCGTAAGATTTCCTGTAACTCCATAAAATTATTTAATGATTACCTTATGATACCTAATAATTCTGCTTGTCCTATGAGGTCATTAAGAGATTGCCTGTTTAAGATCTTGTCACCAGACAAAGTGAGGGGGGACATGGGGTTAGAAGCCAGGACATTTCATCTGTGGGAACTGGCAGGAAGTCACAAGTCATTATGCAAAGTCCTCGCTTAATGACCCATGATTCTCACTTAACTATGGAAACAGGGAATGCTGGGATTACTATTGTTAAGCAATCTGACCACATGACACCACCACATCACTTAGTAATGGAAATTTCGGTCCCAATTCTTACAGTTAAGCAAGGACGTGCTGTACTGTGTTGTACACTGCCAGAGTCATTTGATCTGGGTTGCATACCTTTTTTGTTCAAGCTGAGGAACGAAACCCCTTGGAAACTGGGTATGTACTCCTACACCTGGGATTTACCCTTCTGCTTGGAGGGGAAGTAGAGGCAAGTGCAAATGCAGTGGAAGTTGAGTATATGATATTGTTTTGATTTGAACTTTATAATCTATGATTTTGATAAAATATATTTTACACATACATTCTGTATGTACATACCTATATTAAAAATTATGTTGACCAACCTTACATTTGATGCTGTGAAAACACGATGGCCTTAAAAACAAGATGGCAAAATATTGTTTCGATGTTACTTTTTTAAGCAAATATAATCATGAATGGCTGTACGTGAGCATATGGAAGTAGGCTTAAGATAGAATGCCATGAGACTTTTACTTTCACTTTGTGATCTTCAGCATATTTTGTTATGTTATATCTGTAAGATAAGGTTCACAATTCTATATGATCTAGCTGTGAATATAAAGAGATTTCATAAAATTCAAAGCTCAGAATAGTAGTTGACACCAGAGAAGGCAGAATCAATATTCAAAAGAATATTGATAACAAGAGCCTGTAGTACAGTGGACTAAAGCACTGTAATTAACAACTGCTGCTTGCAATTACTGCAAGTTCAAATCTCACCAGGCTCAAGGTTGACTCAGCCTTCCATCCTTTCAATGAAATGAGGACCCAGATTGTGGGGGCAATAAGCTTACTTTGTATAAATATACAAAAGTATGAAGGCTATTGCTTAACGCATTGTAACCCGCCCTGAGTCTCCGGAGAAGGGCGGCATATAAATTAAAGCCAAAAAAAAAAGAATTCTAAGAGGCTAGGACCATGATGGTGAACCTATGGCACACATGCCAGAGGTGGCACGCAGAGCCCTCTCTGTGGGCAGGTATGCCGTCGCCAGCTGCTTTTCTGGTTTCCGGTGCGCACATGCATGCCAGCCAGCTGATCTTTGTGTGTGCTGGAGCCCCGGAAACCGAAGACTAGCTGGCCAGCGCACATGTGCACGCTGGCTACCTGATCTTCGGGTTTCCGGCGTTCTGGCACACCTGAAGAGCAGCTGGCTGTCACACGCATGCATGTTCCGGTTTGGGCACTTGGTGCCGAAAAGGTTCGCCATCGCTGGGCTAGGATATGGGCCTGAAATTAATAAGAAGAGAGGTATGTAAATTAAAATGTTGTGTTCAGGTTAGGAAAATATAGACGTAAATATCAGATTAGGAGATCTGGCTTGGGAATGATATGGTAGAACAGGATCAGGGTATCTTAATTGACCGTAAAATCATTGTGAAACAACAGCTACTAAAAAAAGAAAATTAAAGGAAGTTTGATGGGTTACCAAAAGTAACAATTCCATTCCATTCAACATTAGGTCAAATTTGAAATACTGTATCCAGTTCTAGATGACTTAATTTAAGAACAAGTTTAATGAACTAGACTGTATGTTCAAGAGAAGAGCAAATAGAAAGGTCAGTAGCTGAGTACAAAGAGGTTTTTTTTTTTCCTTTTATCCCCCAGGCCTGTGACATTTACCTTTTCCTGGGGTTCCTTGCCCAGATCTGTTGTAGCTCCCCTTCATTGTCTCTGTAATTCTTCAGATCATTCGCATTTCCAGTTTGAGATGAATATTGTTAAGTATTGTTTCTCTAAACCGTTAAATAATCAGCATTTTATCATTTAGAATTTTAAACATTTAAAATAGTATTTAATAATATTTTCTTTCCTTTGGTAAGATATACACATACTCACAAAAATATATGGTGTATTTCTACCAATAGCCTACAGCTAAAATTATGGACAGTTTTGCAATGTGGAACATTAAATGGTTTTAGATTTTGGCAGTGTGTCATTATGGAAGCAGATGGTATCTCTTGTGTCACTGGTGAAGTGCTGCATTGTAAATGAACACTCTAGGTAGAAAAATGTTATGCCTGTACTGGCATGTCTCCTTAGCCAACCTGAGGGATTACTTTGCTCTGTCTGCCTCGCCAAGCTCCAGGTTACTGTCTGTCCATTCTTACATTAGATTTGTGCCGCATGGGGGAATACATAAAAAATCATTTTCCTTTCCTACCAGTAATAAAGCCTGACAAATATTACTGTCTTTCTTTTTTCATAGAATTCAGACAAATCTGCAGCATACCGAACAAATGCCTTCCCAAAACCATCAAAGACAGAGTAACAGAAAGGATGTATTTGAGAAAGATGATGAAACAAATTTAAGTGGCTTGGAAGATGAAGATCTGGATTTACTCACATAGCAGATTAAAAATTTAAACTGACAACTACAGGGATCTAAACGATTTCTTCAAAACAAAGCTTTTAGGCATCGTTTCATTTCTTCCTAAATGATTTGTTGGACATTTTTGCGCTGTGTGGAGTTCATGGCATCTGGAAATAGTTTTCACAAATCTTATGATTCTGTTTTCTTCAAATTTGCTTAAGCGTTCTGTTGTTAATTTAATAAGTTAAATAGCAACAGGTATGGTATCCTATATCTGACTTCAATGTATTTGTTGTTTCTCATTCTTTTCCTGACTCCTGTGCTTTCTTTCAGTCACCTTATTCCTTTTGTTTATAAGGCAAGTAACTTCCCACTTCAATTTTTTTTCTTCAACAATTGTTGTTTCATCTTTTACATTTATTTCTGCATGTGTAGTACTTCCTCTGCCAAATTATTGTCTTTAATGAGGTAACAGCATCACAAAATCACTAACGATTTGGCCTAGAACCCTATCATATTAGAGGGAAAGCAGAGCTGGTCCATCTCCTTGGCTAAGGGAAAAAGGGCTTTACCATCTTCAGGGCCACTCATGCTATTGTTTCTCCTCTTGTTATAAGGAATCATAATAGAACATTGGAGGAGCTTAAACTGCTTCTGCTTCTTTTTCTTCTTCCTTTTGTCTGCTTTTCTTCTTGCCTCTTCTGCCATTAAATTGTTTCTCCCTCAGCCTTACTTTAACACCACTGATCTTGTAAAGCATTGTAAGAGCATTTTGTAACACACGGAATAAAACACATAATAAGCAGAGGCCAGTCAGATCCATTCTGTGACTCCTATACCCAGAACATGAAAGAATCTAGCCCTTTTACTGCAAACCCTTTGCACAGTGCCTAAGTGCCAGGATCCCTGGTGGTTCAGTGGTTAAAATGCAGTATTGCAGGCAAACTCTGCCTACAGCCTGGATTTCAATCCTGATGGGGCTCAAGCTTGACTCAGCCTTTCATCCTTTTAGCCTTCCAGGTAGCTAAAATGACACAGATTGTTGGGGACAATATGCTGACATTGTAAACCGCCCAGAATGTGCTGTAAACTACTATGGGACTGTATATAAGTCTAAGTGCTATTACTTTTGCTAAGATATAGTGGTCATACTGATAAAGATAAAAAACATCAAGACAAGTAACAGATCCTTTCTAAACTGTAATTACTTTCATTTGGAAAATGAATTGTCAGATAGGAAAAGGAAACCAGGTGCTTTACAAGAAATACGTTTTGTATCATTCCTACCCTTGGTTTGGAGAAAATTAAAGAAATTATAATATTATAAGAGCAGTTTGGATTGTATTTATTGTGGTGAGTTTAAAAGTAGCAATGATGTTACCTGCTTAACATGTAAATATAATACGTACGATGACAGTTTTATGCCTTGCTTGCCCATCACCACAGCAGACAACTGGAAGATAGGCTTATATTTTGATATTGCTTATTTATGTATTTGTTCTAGTTCAATAAATGAACATGGCCTTGATGATCATCAGGGTGATTTCCTGAAGCAAAACATTCTTATTGGTACGCAAATACGTTTACAGAACCATAATTGCTGCCAATCTCCACTCTGAAAATCTAATTTGACAAAAGAAGTAGGAAATGAATGTTATGCTGGGGTATCAAGCATTTATGTCTGAGTTCCACAATAGGGGGAAAGGCATGATAATAGTCTTCCCATGAAGAGATGTCAGTCATAGGGAAGGGGGTACAGATTTATTGTTTACAATATTCAAGATTAAGACAAGAAATAATGGATGAAAGCTTTATGGAGGATGATCCAAATCTGAACTAGGGAGGAATTTCCTAATAGAGTTATCTAAGATTGAAAGAGTCTGGCCCCTTATGGAAGCCTCATCACTGGAGGTTTTCAAGAAAAGATTGGGCAGCCATTGGTCCAGGATGGTATTTGGATTTCTGCAATCCAAATGCAGAGGATTGGACTAGACCACCTCCAAAGTACCTTCTATGATCATTTTGTGATCTCTCTTTTTTCAGCTGGAGAGTCACTTGGTTGAGTTGGGTGGCTATAGAAATTGAACAAATAAAAATTAATAAATCCTACAAATGTCTGAAGAAACATTTTCTTCCCCTGAGAGATGTGGGGAGAAAGAAGAATTGACAAATGATCACCTTCTTCCACCTGAGCAACACACTTCATGGAGTGGGTCAACATTTGACTCATGCATTCTTATTTCTATTAGATTGTCTCCTTCCAAAGTGAGAAAGAGTGAACATTTCTTAACTCTTACAAAAATTATCTAAGTCCTAATTAGCAAGGCGTCATTCCTTATGCGTAGCTGTTTAATAGGGTTATCCATATCTCAAACTTTAAAAAAAATTATTAGGACCTCATATGACTGAAAAAGGTGATGGCACATTAATGAATAGAAGACAGTTGCTGTGTTCATGTAGGAGATAGTCTTTTTTCTGCAGAGTCATTTTTGAGACATTTACAACCCTACTATTAAAAATGCAGCAACAAAATCAATTGCATTTTGCTGCTGTACTATCTCAATTTATTAAGTATTTATATTCCACTCTTGAAATAATTTTCAGTGTAGCTTGGAATTCTTAAAAAAGAAATACAACCTTAAAGCAGCAGCATCCAGATGCTTCTATACTCCATAGCCAGCACTACAGAGCCAAAGGCATCGATTTTGGTAGTGACTCCATATAACTTGGAGCCAGAAGCTAGGCAGATGGAAGTTGTGCCACAATCTCAAACGTCCTTGAATGATTGGAACTGCAGTCAGACCAGTAACTGATGGAGATTGTCCTGTGGCTGAAAGATCTTTCTCCTTTGCAATCCTCATCCTCCCACACAAAGGAGACCAGGGGAATTTATGTCTGTAGGAGGCAACTTGCTACCACTTGCTATAGGCCTCATGAAATAGGAAATCAGCATACCAAGGGACATTGGAGACATTCCAACACATCATAGTTGTAGCTTTTGCTGGATATAAGGAGGAACAGAAGAAATAAATGGGGGAGGAAATATTGGCAATCAATCTTGGGGATAGAAGGAACAAGGGATCCATATCAAGTGGTGTGACCACTCAAGAGGCACTTTTCCTACCAGCCTTCTGTCTTGCAAAGTTCTCAAGGCTTTGTGAAGATCTATCAACCAGATATGAATGCAGAGGTGATTATTTGAAGGAATGTAAGTCAGTGTATTTCTCATTCTTACACTTTAGTATCTATGCAGATACATGTTTAGTGTTTTGCTTTCCATGTTTAGGCCACCCCAGTTATCTCTCTGCTTCCTAGGAGACTTTTAAATAGAAACCTTACTGAAGGGACAGATTATATCTGGCTTTTAGCTTCTTATCCCTGCCTTTACAGATAAGTAGCAACACCACTTGATTTGTACCTGGAAATGAGCCAAGGATCAGAAATAACTCACAAACATTGGTTATCTCTTGCTGGGTTTTTTGCTGGGTTATGACAAGATCTTTGGGGATTTTGCTAAAATCTGGCTTGCTGGTAGATGGAGGTTGCTTGCTTGCTTCTGTTTATGTGGTTGCAATTTTAAAAGGAGTGTAAAAACATTTTTTTCCTGTGCGCTGCTCCCACTATCCATGCATGGGTTAATCCTTCAGTGCTTGGCAACAACTGAGTGAAAACAAAAGGCTTTTGTTCCCCCCTTTCCGGCTCCCAAGCCACACCTCTGGTCCCATGATCCCCCAGTCTTCACTCAGTTGCTGGCAAACACTGTAGTGATTTTTGGAGCTCCACAGATTGCTAAGGTATTGTGAGTCTGTGGGGGTTTTCTTCTCTGTTTTTTCTCTTTAATTCTCTAAGTATTGGCTTTCCCCTTTCCTTTGAGCGTTAGGTTTTTGTGTTATTTTTGAGTAGCTCCCCTTCGCGATTTTTTCTTTCTTTTAACTGCTGTGCAGGGCGATTTGAGCAGAGGAGGGGGAGTGGAGCAGAGCGCTCACACGCTCGCTCGCCAGCCTCTCCGCTCAGACCAGCTGGCTCGCTGCAAGCGCTACCGGGCGATCCGCTCCCTCTTCAGCTAGCAGGAGCCCATAGCTCATCGCCCCACGCTGGAGCCAGCAATTAGCAGCGGCGCGCTCCTCAACTGGCCGGCGGAGCCGCAAGCGCCGGCCGCCCACACGGCGAAGAGCCGAAGCTCGCTTGAAGGCTGAGCTTCGCAGGGCTGCTCCGGAGCGAGGGCGCAAGGCAGGACAAGCGCCGGAAGAAGGAGACAGCCCTCCCTGCACTACGGAATAACCCCTCGTTAAGGGGATTGTGCGGCGTCTGGTCGGACCCTCGGGCCGCCATTGTAAGCCCGCTGCCAGGTCTGCCCTCGTGGAGAAGAGCACTACGTGGCAGCGCCCTATTGGCGGACCTTCGGGCCGCCATTTTGGGCGAGATCTTCAAGCTTGCGCCTCCCTTATCCATCAGGGAGCCAGCTGCAGACCTGCACCACCCCCCCCCCACTGCTGGAAGGGGCATCAAACCACCCCCACCACCACCATCTGAAGAGGTTTGGGGGAGGCCCCGGGGCGCTCACTCAACAGATCACCCGTGAGTCGCAGGGCAAGGTCCTGATTCAAGTTCCCAGCCGCTCCAGCCATGTCTCATTCCCCCCCATCATCAGACATGGAGCTGGAACTAAGCCCCCCACGCATAAGCGAAAAAAGGGGGAAAAAGAAATCAAAAAAGAGGCACGTGAGCTCGGCCAGCAGGGCTGCCTCAGAAGGTTCCCTACCCTTCCAGGATAGGGACGCCCTGAGAAGGCACAACGCCCTAGAGCGACAGTGGGAGAGGGCGCACAAGGCGGTCTCAGGAATCCTGCCCAGGGATCCTGCACCTGGGGAGCCTACCCCCATCTCCCCAAGAGAGGCGGAAAGGGGACTTACATCTGTGGCCGACATCACAGTCACCCACAATACCCCTGAGGGGATTGGGCCCACTCGCACAACATCTCGCATTGAGACAGCGTCAAGGCCCGGACTGGAAGCTCCAACTTCTCCGCCACCAAACCAGCATCGCCGGGCTAGGGAGGCAAGTGCCACACCCTCAAGGGTAGACCCACAGGGTCAGGGCGGACTGGGCTTGCCCCCCCCAGTGGACTTCCAGGCCATGTTCTCCGCGGCCCTGTCATCTTTCTTCACGGCAACAATGCAGCAGGCGTCCCAGGCTCCCGTACAAACCGCACCCGGCCAGGCGCGGCCGTTCCAACCCCAGCCCCGCCCCCTCCCAGAGCGAGGTCGGGACTCTTCATCAGACGAATCGGACCAAGCCGAGGATGCCCCAGAGGAGATGGAGCTATCGGAGGATGAAGGTCTAGCACCAGACACCCCGGCCTTTACAGACCTCTTCTGCCCGGCCCTATTCAAGTCGCTCCTCCACAAGGCACGACTCACAACCAACCTCGGAGTGCCAGGAGATGTCGCAACGCCCTCCACGTCAACGGCGGGCCCTCACGATGCCCTTTTCAAGTCGTCAAAGCCGCAGAAGGACTACATCCCTTGCCCGCAGCTATTTACAGACGTGATTCAGAACCCCTGGGTGCAGCCGGCCTCCATGGCAACACCCAGCAACCTCGATAAGAAACTCTACTGCTCAGCCCCAGAGTTAGAGGACCTCCTGGTGCTCCCCTCAGTAGACCAGCCAGTGACAACCTTATCTTCCAACTCCCTGATCTCTACTGACCCTCTAGACACGCTCAAGGCGGAAGAAAAGAGGATGGAATGGGCCTTCCGCAAAGCGCACCAGGCCGTGGACTGGGCAATCAGATCCGCCACAGCTTCATCCTTCTTCAGCAGAGCCTCGCTCATTTGGCTCCGTCACCTGCAGGACAGGCTCCCGCCTGAGGACACTAGACTGCATCAAGATCTAAATAAGATAATAGCTGCCACCGAATACACTGCTGACAGCTCCCTGAACTCAGCCAAGTTCGCCTCAAGGGCGCTGGCTTCTACTCTTACTGCTAGGAGGCTATTCTGGCTTCGGCCTTGGAAAGCCGACTTCAAGGCCAAATGGAAGTTGGCGGCTTCCCCATATAAAGCACCAGATCTGTTCGGCGCTTCGCTGGAACCCCTACTGATTGAAGGGAAGGACAAGAGGAAGATCCTCCCATCAACCTACAGGTGCCAGGAACGCAGGTACACGCCTTACCCGCTCCAGCAGCCCTTTCGTGCAGGCGCCGGACCCAGGGGGTCCTCCTCGCACCGCTCCCATTACCAGGGAGGAGACAGATTTAACGACAGACAACAGTTCCAAGACCGAGGAAGACACCAGCAGCCTAAATGCAATTTCCGAGGAGCCGGC